CAACCTTTCCGGGCATTTCGACACCGACAAAACACTGAAGCTGCTGCAGCGGAATTATTACTGGCCGGACATGCACACCGATGTGCAGCGCTACGTGTCAACTTGCCCGACCTGCCAAGCAATGAAGTCGTCGCGACAAAGGCCAGCCGTGTGAAATTGAACGAGAATGAAATGACTAAGGGAAAGATGGGTACAAGTACAAACCCTAGAAAGCTGTACCCTATATGTGCTACCCCACTATAGCCTACAGTAGCGATGTCATATAAATCTGACACACCCCCATAGGCAAAGTGGGGGAGAACAAGGGGTCACAAGACCACTCAAGCAAAGCAAAGCAAGCTCAGGGTGGATCACAAAGTCACCACACATTCCGAGCACAAGTTCAAGGCCAGAAGGCCAGTTCATTCGCAGAATTACATATATATGTAAGGCTAGACAAGCAAGAGCAGGTGCATATATATATATGCAACAGTACAACAAGGTCAAGGGGTGAGCAAGTGAGGCAAGGTAGGCACAAGACCCAGCTGAGTACAGACGCGCTAATGATCACAAAGCGCAAGTGCCTTGGAGAAGATATCAGCAGTGTTGGCCTCAGAGGCCACGTACGCAAGGCGCAGCTGACCACGCTGCTGTAGCTCATGAGCAAGGAAGTAGCGGACAGCAATGTGCTTCGTTCTGTGCTCAAGTCTATGTTCTCGACACAAGGCCAGCATGGCCTTGTTGTCTACGTACAGCACTGGAGGAGAACGAGGCAGCTCTCCGAGGTCAGCCAGCAGGTAGGTGAGCCAGCCAAGCTCCTATGCAGCCATGGCCCCGGCGTAGATCTCAGCCTCACAACTGGAGCCGAGAACAGAAGACGAGTGGGTAGCCCGCCATGAGACAGAGCCGGAACCAAGGCTGAAGGTGTAACCCTGTGACGACCGCTGCGTAGCCTGGTCGTCAGCCCAAGAAGCGTCTCCATGCCCAGTAAGGACCACTGGACTCTGCCCTCCAAGCACAAGCCCGATGCCCGACGTACTGCACAAGTAGCGCAACACCCTCTTCGCTGCAGCCATGTGCTCCGGTCTTTGTCTCCCAGGAGCAACATAGCGTGCTAGAATGCTAAGAGGGTATGCAAGGTCAGGTCGTGTGCAGGTCATCAGGTACATGAGGCAGCCAACAAGCTCTGGGTACGGGCCACTCGACTCTACGGACTCATCCGAAGGCAGAGCTGAGAGCGAGTGGCGAGTAGGCAGAGGAGTGGCCTGAGGCGAGGAGTACGTGAAGCCGAAGCGCTGAAGGACCTGCTGCACCATGTGTGACTGAGTCAGGGTAATGGTGCGGCGTGCTCTGTCCCGGGTGATCTGCAAGCCAAGGTAGCTGCGCAGTTCACCCAGGTTTGTACACGTGTGTCTCTTCTGCAGCTCGGACTTCACGTGGGCGAGTCCAGCAGTGTCAGCAGTGGCAAAGACCAAGTCGTCGACGTACACGAGGATGTAGAACGGCGGCAAAGAAGTGTCGGTGCGCAGAAACAGAGACGGGTCGGCAGTAGAGGGAGCAAACCCAAGAGCCGCAACTGTAGGCCTCAGTGTGTCGTGCCACTCACGCGGTGCCTGGCGGAGACCGTAGACTAGCCGCCGGAGGCTCCACTGGGTACCAGGAGGGAACGACCCAGTGAAGCCAGGTGGGCGGCGTAGCCAGATCTCCTCGTGCAGGCTGCCCTGCAAGAAAGCAGTGCTGAAGTCAAGAGAGTGAAGCTCGTAGTCGCGCTGAGCGGCTATGTGCAGCAGCACCCGAAGAGTGGTCATCTTCGTGGTGGGAGAGAAGGTTGAAAGTAGTCAACTCCCTACCGCTGTCTGAAGCCTCGAGCCACGTAACGCGCCTTGAAGACAGGCGGAGAACCCGGCGGCCGCTTCACCCTGAAAATCCACATGCCACTGACGATGTTCGCCCCAGGCGAGGGGAACATCGTCAACGTAGGTGCCTGTGGACTTCCAAGAAGCCATCTCTGTGTCCATAGTTGCCTGCCACTGAGAGGAGTAGGGACCCTCTATCGCCTCCGCGTAAGAGCGCGGAGTCGGGATGTCAAGTGCATCCGGGTCTCCCTCAGGGGTAAGCAGTACGGACACGAGATGAGGTGAAGCAGCAGCCAAACACTGGAACTCCTCCTGCCTGTCCTCAAGGACGTCCGTGCCAAGGGCACACTCACCCCCGACGGACGGAGGATAGACAGACTCAGACTCAGCGACAAGACTAGCAGCGTAGTCTAGACGACAGCGAGCAGCGAAGTCGACGAGCTCAGCAACTAGGGCAAACGCAGCAGTGGACTCAAAGGAAGGGTCAGTGACGACAGTAGCAAGGAGACGCGTGACAGTAGGACTGGCAGCACGAAGAGAGTCCGACTCCGGGTCGGCAAGAGCAGGAAGCGAGGACTCAGGAGGAGAAGGCAAAGGGGCACGAAGAGGAGCAGTGGACGGACGTAGAGACATCCGTGCGTGCCAGGGACAGGAGGAGGACGCTGACGCGAACCACAACCACTAGTGCGAGTAGGACGGAGAGGCGACGCAGGGCAAGACGCAGGCTCACGACGCTCAGCAACACCTCCAGTAGGACCAGTGTAGGGAGAAGGAGCAGGCAGTGGGGAGGCCGGCTGTAACTGTAACTGTGACGGGACAAGCTATGGACACTCTAAGGGAGGAGGAGGACCAGTAGAAGGCGGGAGACCAAGAACCTGCTGAAGGAGCGGAACGAAGTACGACCGAGGCCGCGCGGCTACTCCAGACACAGCAGGGACAGCACCAGTACCCCCTAGCGGCAGCACCGAGCGCCAGCAGCACCTCCAGCTCCAGTACCCCCAGCAGCACAAGTAGCACCCCCAGCAGGACCTCCTCCAGGACCGACAGCAGTAGCCTCAGCGCCAACACCCTCAGCAGCTCTAGCTCCAGTCGTACCTGCAGGCTCAGCAGCTCCAGTACTCCCAGTACGAGCACCTCCAGGACCCGCGGCACCAGCACCCTCAGCAGCCGAAGAACCTCCAGCTCCAGCACCACGCCTCCAGCGCCGGGCAAACCACTTGCGCAAGCTCCTGTGGAGAGAGTGGCTCCCGCCGAGACGAAGCACCCTGAGAACCTCCAGGCCCAGCACCGCCAGACGCCACACGAGCAGGCCCAGCTCCCTCAGGCTCCGCACCCCCAGGCTCAGCACCCCCAGGCGTAGCAAGCCCAGGCTCAACACCCCCAGGCTCAACACCCTTAGTGGTAGCACCTCCAGGCTCAGCACCCCCAGGCTGAGCACCCCCAGGCGTAGCACCCACACGCTCAGCACCCCCAGAGTCAGCACCCCCAGGCTCAGCACCCTCAGCAGCACCAGAGTCACCATGTAACCTCGACAGGCTCGACTGCGTCTACCTGGGACACACCTGAAGGGGTAGGACCCTGAGGGGGGAGGGGGTCTACCGGGGGGGGACCTGGCACAAGGAAGAGCGGTGGCGGGGGGAGGGACGGAGTGCGGTAGGGGAAGAGGCGGTAGTAGGGGACCGACTCGTCAAACGTGACGTCCTGGGAGGACAGAACACGGCGAGAGGTGGGGTGGTAGAACTGCCACCCTGGCGCGTCAGGGGGGAAGCCAAGGAAGACGCAAGGAGCAGCACGAGGGGACAGCTTGTCCGCAGACAAGTCGCGGACAAACGCCCGAGATCCCCAGACACGGAACGCAGACGCATCGCCAACCTTCCCCGTCCACAGCAAAGCTGGGGAGGTCTCCGGCATGGAGACCATGCGGTGAAGGTTGATCTGATGCGCCGCGTACCGAAATCCGCAAACGGCCACAGAAAATGGGGGGCAGCCGCAAGCATCATGGACGTACGGGCGACGTCCATGACCATGCCAATGCGGCGCTCAGCAATCCCATTTTGCTGTGGAGAGTCCGGAAGCGTGAAGGTCTGGCGAATGCCTCGTGCACGACAGTAGGCTCGCAGAAGGCCAGAGGAGAACTCTCCGCCTCTGTCAGAGTGCAGACGCAGAAAAGGAAAGTCCGAGCCGAAGTTCTGCCTGAGCTGGAGACGAGCTGCGCGGATCCAGTCGATCAACACCTCAGTGACATCACCCTTGCTGCGCAAGGGGAAGACTGTGGTGTAACGCGAGTAGTCGTCAACCACCAGCAGGAAGTAGCGCTCGTGACCCTGTCCACGGACGCGGGACGGGCCCCACACGTCCATGTGAAGCGTCTGCAGCGGGGCCTCTGTCGGAGGAAACTGGGAGGAGTGAGGGGCAGCCCGCTGCAGTCCCTTGACACAGGGGACGCAGGTAGGGCCAGGCCCCGGAGGAAGGGGAGGGAGGGACCGGGGAAGACCAGAGACAAGGACACGAGAGGCCATGCCTCGGAGACGAAGCAGGGAGGGGTGACCAAGACGGTGGTGCCAAGAGGAGAGTCTCGTGAGACAGGAGGCGACACGAGTAGGGGGCAGACTCAGGACCAGACCTGGACGCTGCAGCAAACACCTGACCCAACGCAACTACCTGACCAGACGCAGTGTACTGGAGGAGACGCAGTGGTCAGTGTGTACAGGCTCGACCCCGGCCGACGTGTAAACGTGGCCAGGTGTCGGCCTGTCCGAGCGTCCGTGCAGTGGGTCACCCGCTGACTCGCAGGAGTGAACTGGTGAACCCCCGCATCCTGTAGGTCAGCACCAATCACCAAGTTTGTAGAGAACGAGGGGAGGTAAAGGCCAGACAGGGTGCCAGAGGGGGCCGTCGGACACGGGAGGACAGTTGAGAAGTGAGCAAGGACAGGACCCCCAGAGGGGTCTGCCAGAGAGACTGCAACTGGCCGGCCAAGCGGCGTGAGTATGGTGCGGTCTCGAAAGAAGGAGCGAGAAGCCCCCGAGTCAAGGGTGAAGGTGTGGGAGGCCAAAGCCGACGCAGTACCTGAGAGAGCAGACTCACCAGCACCTGAGGGAGCAGACGCACGAGCACCTAGAGCAGCAGCCTCGCTAGCACCTAGAGCAGCAGCCTCACCAGTACCTAGAGCAGCAGTCTCAATGCCCAGGGGGGGGATGTCACGAGTGCGCTGCTGCTTGCTTGCTGCTGGCGTTGACCACCACCGGAGCCGACCCTCTGCGCAGCTGCCACCCCAACCAGCTCCACCTCCTCCGCCACCGCCTCCTCCACCGCCGCCACCTCCGCCACCTCCGCTCCCACCACCACCACCGCCGCCGCCTCCGCCTCCACTGCCGCCACCGACACCTCCACCCCCGCCACCACCCCCACCGCCACTCCCACCCCCTCCGCCACCTCCACCTCCGCCTCCACCGCCCCCGCTAGCTCCTCCAGCGCCCCTGCCCCCCTTGCCCTTGCCAGGGCGGCGTCTCCCGCTAGGGGTAGACGCCGCACCGAACGACACAAGACCAACGAGGTCGGCCGCAGCAGTAGAGGCAACTAGAGGGCAAAAGGGGGGAGGGGGAACACCCCTCAAAGATGGGGGTGCGAGGGTCACCACGAGAGGCTCCTACAGCTACTATGCTCTTCTCTGCTGCTAGGAGGGCCTTCACAAGGAGGTCAACGGGAAGTTCTGGCAGGAGACGTGGACACAGTATGGTACCCGCCTTCAGTTTTCGTCGTCATACCACCCGCAAACCGACGGACAGACGGAACGGACAAATCAGACCATGGAGCAACTGATTTGCACCAACTGCCCCGACATTCGCAAATGGGAAGATTCACTGCCGATGCTGGAATTCGCATACAACAACGCCCCGTCGGCCACGACTCAACAATCACCCTTCTTCCTGAATTACGGGATAGACCCCGTGGTACCCTCTTCAACGACTGTGGAAAACCCGGTACCAAGATCGCAGCAGTTTGTCACGGAGCTGCAGACCGCCCGCACGAAAGCAGCTGATTTCATTCGTAGGGCTAATACCACGGCCAGTCGCCAGGCGGATAAACATCGACGGAATTTACCCTTCCGCGCAGGGCAGGTTGTGCTCCTAGACACCAAGAATCTCAGGCTGCCGCAGCCCGCGAAACTACGGCCCCGATACGTGGGACCATTTCGTATCATCCAGATGGTGACACCTGTCACCGCGAAGCTGCTGCTGCCCGACGACTGGAAAATACACGACGCATTCGACGTCAGCCTGCTGCGTCATTACGAACAGCCGCAGTCGCCAACTGTTGCTCGGCCAACCATCACGCCGACCACACGCCCCGTGGCAGAGCCCCCGCTGGAACCTTGGAAGATTACCATCGCGTGGACATGACTGCCACCGGCCGCTCAGTGAAATTTCTGCTTCGCTGGAAAGAACGCACGAGCGAGGACGACACGTATGTCGACGCTGACTCGCTACTGGGACATCCGGTTGTGGATGCTTACCTGGCCCGCCGAGGTGTCTCGGATATTCACCACCTTTCTTAAGGGGGGGGGGGGGGGGGGGGGTAGTGTAAGGAATTTTTCGGATTCCTTACTGGGTCACACTGTACACGTACAATCCCGACTTTCGGAAAACCAGGCTCGGTCCGCCGACCTCGCCTTCCGAGCCACTACCGCGTCGCTTTCGGGTTTCCCAACCCCGAACCTACACCCAACCATCTCGCGAACCCGCGACCTCGGCCTAGCTAGCTTCGCTATATTAGTCCTAGGCCTCGCTGTGTTCTCAGACGTTGTAATTGTCAAATGTTGTAGCCTGTAGTGAGGTTTGTCTTAGGGGGTACAGAAGTTAGGGTTTGTCATATGTACCCCAACCAACATCAATGCAACACCCATTCCTCATTCTGACATGGTATCAGCTAGGTTAGGATCCTGTGGGATCCCGTTCCTCCGTTCTCCGTTCGTACCTCCCGAGCCTGATCCTACCTCTCGTTCGTACCAGTTTAGTTGTTACCGCGCCTAGTACCGAGCCTAGCATCATCTCCCCCGTCGCGTCGCGCCCGTTCCCCCCGTCGCGTCGCGCCCGTCCCCCCCGTCGCGTCGCGCCCGTTCCCCCCGTCGCGTCGCGCCTGTTCCCCCCGTCGCGTCGCGCCCGCCTGTTCCCCCCCTGTCCCGTCGCGTCGCCCTGCCCTGTCCCGTCGCCCTGTCCCGTCGCGTCGCCCTGTCCCGTACCGTCGCCCTGTCCTGTCGCGTCGCCCTGTCCCGTCCCGTCGCGTCGCCCTGTCCCGTCGCGTCGCCCTGTCCCGTCCCGTCGCGTCGCCCTGTCCCGTCCCGTCCCATCCCGTCGCCCTGTCCCGTCGCGTCGCCCTACTCCGTCGCGTCGCCCTGCCCTGTCCCGTCGCCCTGCTCCGTCGCGCCGCCCTGCCCCGTCGCGTCGCCCTGTCCCGTCGCGTCGCCCTCCCCGTCGCGTCGCTCCCGCCCTTTCCCCCGTCGCGTCGCCCTCCCTAGGCCCTAGCCCGTCGCCCTCCCTAGGCCCTCGCCCGTCGCCCTCCCTAGGCTCTGGCCCGTCGCCCTACCCTAGGCCCTGGCCCGTTGCCCTACCCTACGTTTTGGCCCGTCGCCCTAGCCCGCTCTTCCGCTGCGACTGAGTCCTCTTCCCCCCCGGTTGTTACTCGCCTGTTCGTTCGCGTTGGTTCTCACTATGGCGACTCCGCGAGTTCTTCGTTTCGACGCTGACGGTAGACCCCTTGACTTTTCCGTCTGGCTTCTTCGCGCTCGTCGTCTGTTAGAGAGTCAGGTCCAGGGGGGCGAGACCCTCTGGTCACACGCTACTGGTGACCTCCCCGAGCCCCCCGAGCCTACCGCTTTAGGCCCTGCTCCTGACGACGCTGCTACGGCTCGCTTTGCCCGTCAGCGCGCTGACCGGACGGCTTGGACGTCGCGTGACGCTGCGGCCTGCATCGCACTCAGCAGCCTCCTCCCTGAGTCCGAGGAGGTCCACTTTACTCAGGTTCGCACCGCTGCTGTGTACCTCACTGCGATTAAGGCCCGCTACTCTACTCCCGCTACTGTCTCTCTCGGCCGTCTTTTCCTCCCGTTCCTGTTTCCTGATCTTGCCTCGTTTGAGCGCTCTGCTGACTTGATCGCTCACCTCCGCTCGCTCGACGCTAGTTACCGCGCTGCTTGCACTGAGGCACAGCTTGCACTGCTTCCTCCCCCCATGGCGATTACTGTCTATTTCATCGCCACTAGCCTCCCTGACCGCCTTGCCTCCGTTCGTGACGCGCTTCTGCTGAAGCACCCTAGTGAGCTGACTATCGAGGTCCTTGAGTCTGCACTCAAGGACGTCGAGAGCAACCTTCGTTCGGTAGCTGCCGCCTCTGGTACTGTGTCCCCCCCACTCTTCCACGGGTGCACAGTCCCGCAGTTACCCACCTTCACTGCCTCTCTTGCCACTGCCGCTACTGACGCGACTGCGGCTGCTGTTACGACTGCGTCGCGGTCCCGCGGCAGGGGGGGCAAGAAAGGTGGTTCCGGTGGAGGTGGAGGCGGAGGTAGCGGAGGTAGTGGGGGTGCTGTTGCGACTGGCGGTGGTGGGAGTGCAGCGTCTGGAGAGACCCCTCGTGCAGCGGCTGGTGACTCCACAGCACCTGCTGGTGGCGGCGACCCTCGAGCTCGTCAGTCGCCTCCTGTACTGCCGGCCCCGCTAGGTGGAGCAGCGGCGTGGTACCAGGCTCAGCGTCAGCAGCACCTTCAGCAGCAGCAGCAGCCCCTTTCCTCCCAGCAGCCTCAGCAGCAGCAGCGTCAGCAGCTGGCTCCGGGGTCGGGGCTGCGTCAGCCCCAGCGCGGTGCGGCTTACCCTCCCTGCCCCTACCAGGTTCAGACAGGTCCTCGTTGGGGCCACCCTTGTGGCCGCTTTCACCCCCCTGGTCAGTGCTTTGCTCAGCTCACTGACACGGTCCGGTTGACCTACGGGGTTGGCGGTCCTGCTCCTGACTGGCTTCCTCTGGTTCAGCGCCACGGCTCCGCTTTGTGGGGCATGTCTGCTGAGCAGTTAGTTGATCTGATTAGTGCTCCTCATGCTATGTATGCTGTTGTTGACTCTAGTGTTTCTGACTTTGTTTACTCTGGTGTTGTTAGCTTAGGTGCTAGTCTTGCTCAGTTGCCTGTTGCTAGTGTAGGTACTTGTGTAGACTCTAGACCAGCGACTACCTCAGAGGACGCTTCGCTGTCGTTCACACTGGACTCTGGAGCCTCCCACTGCTTCTTTCGGGACAGCACGACACTTACACCACTTCCTGCGCCTGTTTCTGTAGCGTTGGCTGATCCCACTACGGGACCAGTCACTGCACGTCACACTACCACTTTACCGTGTCCTGCTGCTCCCTCCGGGTCTCTCACTGGGTTTCACGTCCCCTCGTTCTCCCGGAACTTGGTGGGCGTGCGACCCCTCGTGAGTCAGCACGTGGGTGTGTGGTTTGAGCCTTCTGGAGAGACTGCGGTGTGTGTTGACGGAGACTCTTACCAGCCTCTTGCTACCTTTACTGCTGAGCCGGGCTCGGGTCTCTACACTCTTCACACTGGCCCGCGTGCGCCGCAGCAGCAGCCGCAGCAGCAGCAGCAGCCGCAGCAGCAGCAGCAGCAGCAGCAGCAGCACCAGCACCAGCGGCCGCACCAGCAGCCCCCCCTACTGCCATTGCCCCCGGTTCCCCCCCCCGTTCGGGTCCCCGCGTCTCACCAGGTTGCTACGTCCCCCCAGGTGTCTGTGTCGTGTCAGGTTCCTACGTCTGTTCCAGTCGCTGCGTCGTGCTCCTGCCGGTCGCTTGCCCACCCCACCGTTCTGTGGCACCACCGGATGGGGCACCCGTCCCTTCCACGTCTGCGCGCTATGTCTAGTCAGCGTCTTGTCCTAGGCCTCCCACGTGTCTGCCGTCGCTGCCGCCTTCGCCTGCGCCGCCGTGTCGTCCCTGCGTCGAGGGTAGGCTGCGCGCCACCCCTCACTCCTCCTCCCTTCGTCCGGCCACCGAGCCTTTTGAGACGCTTCACTTGGACGTCTGGGGCCCAGCCCCTCGTCTAGGCCCTGAGCGTGAGCGTTACTTTCTGGTGGTAGTTGACGACTTCTCCCGCTACACCACAGTGTTCCCTCTGGCGAAGAAGTCTGAGGTGACTTCTACGCTGATCAGGTGGTTGCTCACCACTGAGGACACTCGTGGTCGTCGTGTCAGCTGTCTCCACTCCGACCGTGGGGGTGAGTTTCGCTTCGGCATTCTCGCTGGATTCTGTCGCGAGCAGGGCATTCGTCAGTCCTGGACGCTTCCAGAGTCCCCACAGCAGAATGGGGTTGCTGAGCGCCGCATAGGCCTGGTCATGGAGATCGCCCGCACCTCCCTGACTCACGCCTGTGCCCCCCATTTTCTGTGGCCCTACGCGGTCAGGTACGCCGCGCACCAGCTGAACCTCTGGCCACGTGTCTCTCGACCAGAGGTTTCACCCACCAGTCTTTGGACAGGGTCCCCTGGTGTTGCGTCACGGTTTCGTGTCTGGGGGTGCTTGGCTCTTGTCCGCGACACCTCCGCGGACAAGCTCTCGCCTCGTGCCGTCCCCTGTGTCTTCCTTGGTTTTCCTGAGGACTCCTCTGACTTCACCTTTTACCACCCTCCCTCTCACCGGTTCTTTGACTCCCGTGACGTCCGTTTCGAGGAGTCCACTCCGTACTACGTCAGGTACCCCAGTCGAGGTCTCCCGGTTCCTCCTCCCCCCCTCTTCCTGACTGCCGTTCCCCCTCCTGCTCCCCCGGTACAGCCTCCCCCCCCTGGTCCAGCCCCGTCAGGTGTGTCCCAGGCTACCCCTCCTCCTTCGGTAGCCCCTCCGGTACAGCCTCCCTCCCCACAGTCCTCCTCGCAGCGTGCCGCTGGTGCTAGCTCTCGAGAGGTTGGTGCGGCGCCTGTTCCTGTACCGGTTTCTGGTTCTGGGGGTGCTGGAGTTGGAGCTGGAGTTGGAGCTGGAGTTGGCACTGGAGTTTGTGGTTCTGGGGGTGCTGGAGTTGGAGCTGGGGTTGGAGCTGGAGTTTCTGGTTCTGGAGTTGGAGCTGACCCGGTGGGTGCAGAGGACTCTTGTCGTCCGGGAGCTGGTGCTGGCTGCGCGGACACTGGGGGTGCTGCGTCTGGGGGTGAGGGTGCGCCTCCTTCGGGTTCAGGTGAGCCTGGGTCTGGAGCTGGTGTTAGTGCTGCCTCTGGGGGTGGTGCGCCTAGTTCTTCTGGGGTGGACTCTGGAGCTGCCGCTGCTTCGGACACTACTCCACCCCCCCACCCCTACCCGACTAGGCATCAGGCTCGTGTTCGCCGTGCCCGTGACGAGCAGCTGGCGTTGGAGAGAGAGGAGAGGGAGTTACAGCGGCTGGAGGAGCAGCAGCGGCAGCTGGACCCGCAGGAGCAGCAGTCCCAGCAGCAGCCGCTTCTGCAGCAGCAGCAGTCGCAGCCGCAGCAGCAGCAGCCACTTCCTCCTCCTGTCTCGGGTCTTCGGATCCTTGGTCTCCCCTCCCCTTCTCCTCCCTCCTCCGCCTCTCCTCCTGTCTACGGTCCCACGTTTCCTCCTCCTGACTCCTCCCCCGCTGTTTTCCCCAGTTCTCCGCCCTTGTCCTCTTCTCCTCCGTCTCGTTCTTGGGCTACTCGTCGCTCCCCTCGTGCTCGTCCCTCGTCTCCTGTTCCCTTCACTGACCTTCGTACTGCCTTCCTTCTTTCTAGTCCACCTCGTCCGTCTCAGTCTGTGCTTCCGTCTCCTCCTGAGTCGGCCCTCACTGTGTCGCTCCCTACTCCTGTCACTGACTACTACCGCACGTACCGTCCTGTTCTCTCTCGTGTTCTCGCCTCTCTTGTTACTCACCCTCGTGCCTCTGTGTCCTCTATGTCCGCTCTTACTGCCGCAGTTACTGACTTTGCCTCTACCCGCCGCCTTGACTACGCCACCACGCTTGTGGCTGCTCCTCCTACCAGTCCTCTGGCCGTCGGGGGTGTGTCTGCCCTTGGCTGTGACGCCCTAGAGGACACGCAGTTTGAGCTAGAGTTCCTGGCGGCCGCTTCCCCTCATCTCTGTGCCATGCTCCTCGCCCCTGAGGGTGACCCCGACGCCCTTGACATTCCGACTCCTCGCACTTACGCTGAGGCAGTGTCAGGGCCTTGGGCCTCTCAGTGGAGAGCTGCCATGGACGCAGAGATGGCCTCCTACAGATCCACAGGCACCTACGTCGATGAGGTTCCCCCCTGGGGCGAACGTAGTCGACGGCATGTGGATCTACAGGGTGAAGCGGCCACCGGGATCTCCCCCGGTCTTCAAGGCGCGCTACGTGGCTAGAGGTTTCAGTCAGCGCGAGGGAGTTGACTTCTTTCAGACCTTCGCACCTACCCCGAAGATGACCACTCTTCGGGTGTTACTACACGTAGCAGCACAGAGAGACTACGAGTTACACTCTCTCGACTTCTCCACTGCTTTCCTTCAGGGCAGCCTATACGAGGAGGTCTGGTTGCGTCGTCCCTCGGCCTTCACTGGCACCTTCCCTCCTGGGACCCAGTGGAGGCTGAGGCGACCTGTTTACGGTCTTCGCCAGGCCCCTCGTGAGTGGCACGACACTCTGCGTTCTACCCTCTCTGACCTTGGGTTCCAGCCGTCTTCTGCCGACCCGTCGCTGTTCGTTCGTCGTGGCTCCACACCGTTCTTTGTTCTGGTCTACGTCGACGACCTCGTTTTCGCCACTTCGGACAGGGTTGCTTTGGCAGACGTGAAGTCCGAACTGCAGAAGAGACACACGTGCACTGATCTTGGTGAGCTGCGCCACTACCTTGGCCTGCAGATCACCAGGGACAGAGCCGCTCGCACCATTACACTCTCACAGTCACACATGGTGCAGCAGGTCCTTCAGCGGTTCGGGCTTCAGCACTCCACCGTACAGCGCACACCTCTAGCTGTTGACCACAGACTCACTGGTCCCTTTCCTGACGAGCCGTTTGAGCCTAGTGGTCCCTACGCAGAGCTTGTGGGTTGCCTCATGTACCTGATGACTTGTACTCGCCCGGACCTCGCCTTCCCTCTCAGCATCCTTGCGCGCTTTGTTGCGCCAGGGAGACACCGTCCTGTTCACTGGACGGCAGCTGTGAGGGTGGCGAAGTACCTAGCGACTACATCAGGCGTGGGGCTAGTTCTTGGAGGGCAGCAGTCTGTCGTACTCACTGGTCACTGTGACTCCTCTTACGCTGACGACGCTGAGACTCACAGGTCTACTCAGGGGTACTGTTTCAGTCTGGGTTCTGGAGCTGTTTCCTGGCGTTCCACGCGCTCCTCTTCTGTCTCAACCTCTATAGCTGAGGCTGAGATTTACGCTGGTGCCATGGCGGCACAGGAGTTACGGTGGTTGACCTTCTTGCTCGCCGACCTTGGTGAGCGGCCGAGCTCTGCACCGACCTTGTTTACTGACAACAAGGCGTCGATCCTCCTCTGTCGTGAGCCGCGACTGGAGAGCAGAGTGAAGCACATTCACGTCAGGTACTTTCTTCTGCGAGAGTTGCAGAGGCGTGGACAGGCTCGCTTCGAGTTTGTAGAGTCCGAGGCCAACACTGCAGACATCTTCACCAAGGCGCTTCCGCCTTGTGACCACCAGAGGTGTTGTGTGCAGTTAGGCCTTGTTGACACAGGTTCTAGTCATGCGTAGACTTGAGTTTATTGCTTGCTTCGTCTGTACACTTACTATATATACTTGTGATCTCTTGGACTGGCCTTGTGGCCACTGTTGCTTGTGCTCAGAGTGTGTGGTGACGTTGTGATCCACCCTGAGCTTTGTTTTCTTTTGGACTGGTCTTGTGACCGTACTCTTTTTTGTTTTTGCTAGACACCCCTCACATAGGCTATGGGGGTGTGTCAAATGTTGTAGCCTGTAGTGAGGTTTGTCTTAGGGGGTACAGAAGTTAGGGTTTGTCATATGTACCCCAACCAACATCAATGCAACACCCATTCCTCATTCTGACAGTAATCACTTCCGTATTATTGAGTTCTGCGCACTCTTCCTTTCACAACTCATAACAACAGCTGTTTCACTGTATATACAAATATTTCATGAGTAAACTGACATCATTTCTCCAACTAGAGAATGATTGAAGTGGGAAAAACGGTAGTTAGCTGGATTTTCCTACCTCACACATTGATACAGTTATGTCCACACATAGACCTGTGAAAGTACCACAATAGCATTGCACGTCAGGGCCTACTTTTAGATTTTAGGTACTCTGAATTCCAGAGTTGTTTTTTTGCCAACTCTGAAATCTAGGGTTGTTCTTACGCCTCACTCTGAGTTGTCAGAGTAACCCTATGTTTTGGGAAAAAAACTCAGGCACGTCAGAGTAATATTTTGCTTTACTCTGATGTTAGTTTCCTAAGGTGTATGATCTGTATGGGTAATTTGTTACGCCTTTCAGAAACTCCAGACCCGTCATAGGGCGAGAGCTGCATGACGGGCCGGGATCAGGTTCAGGCGCAGCAGCGTCAGTGTTGTCTGCATTGAACAGGGTGCGGAACAGAGTGGGGGGGAGACGCGTGGCTGTGATGTTGGGTGGGGTACGCAAGGCACCTGATGGTTGGGGAAATGGGTGGAGAAACTGTGAGCCAGCCGAGCACTAGCAGGCCTTGGCGCCAACAATTGAACTAAATCTGGATGGTGTTCTCGGCGACTTGGAGAAAACCCGATATTCGGGAGGTGGGGGGAGGGAGGGGGGGGAGGTGGGGGGGGTGGCTAGGGGGCATGTATCCTCTGTACAGAGTAAACTCGGTCCTTAGAATAAAAACCCAGAGAGCTCAGAGTAGCCTACAAGAAAACTCTGATAAATCAGAGAAAACTAAACTTTTAAAAGCAAAACCCAGCAGGTACAGAGTTCCTTTCAAAAACGACTCTGATTTTCAGGGAAACAGAATTGTGACAAGACTCTACAAGGAGTCTGCAATGCAGTCGTCATAGGATCCTGGAGGGGGGCACAGGTTACCGGTTGCACGTACCATAGTAATTGAATTGCTATCAAGGTTACCGGTAAGTAATACCTCCAAGAAACAATCAATACACAAGCCAGAAGAGCACAGACAACTCCTACCGTACCAAAGCCACACCTAAAGGTGCATTGTTTCGGTCAAGCACCAAATGAAAATCAGAACCGCTCGTGAGCCTATCGCCTACTAGTTTGTGCAATATTTTGAAGCCCCTCGCATCACAACATATGAAACTCCCTTCCAGATTTCAGCAGAGATACAAAACACTTCATAGCATGAGCCATACCCCAAGCAACTCTTCTTCATAGGAAAACCTTCACGCACATCAGCCATAGCTTGAATCACCCCCAAGCCACACGCACTTGAAAGAACGCCAACATCAGTGAGTCGCGAAGCTTCATACCGAATAACAGCTTCATGAGATGAGAGCACGCCTTGTGAGAAAACTGCACCCGCAGCTGCGGCTGGCTGTATCTTGAGGGCACCTTACACACTTGAAGAGTGAAAGCTTTGTTTCGGTTCTCATGGCGTAGTATGGTTCCGTTCCACCTTCACTCCCTGTCACTAGCATGCCTCATAAAAGAGCACTTGCGGCTGCAGGCGGCCTCTGGTGCATGAGCTGACCACGTCTGCCCAGCCCCCAACCACCTGCAGGGAGGTCGCACAACAGAGAAGAGAACAGCTTTCTGAGAATTTTTGAAAGCAGATCCAACATCTCACTCCACCTCATCTCACTCCTTCCATCCACCTCATCCCCCTCCCCCCCTTCTCACCTTGACAGTAGTGTCGTCGAACATGACCCACTTGCCCAGGTCAGCATGGAAGGAGAAGCAGTGGTAGTGCCACCCGTAGTAGCACACCACACACACCACACCACCCGCACCCTCTGCGGGCTCGCCAGGCCTCTGTGCAAGCAAGCACCTCACCTCAGCCGAAACATCCACATCATCACCGCACTCAACCTCTCTCCACCTCTCATCACCGCCCTTCACCTCTATCTTCTCACCTTGACAGTGGTATCGTCGAACATGACCCACTTGCCCAGGTCCGCATGGAACGAGAAGCAGTGGTAGTGCCGCCCGTAGTAGCACACCACACACACCACCCGCACCCTCTGCGGCCCCCGCAGGCCCCGATACACCACGCCCACATCCATGTGCACGTCCAGCGCTGCCAGTGTGAGGCCTATGTCCTCTGCCTCCTCCCTGTCGCTCTGCCATCCCAGGACTGTCAACAGGGCAGGGCAACGAGCAGCGAAAAAGGGAAGGAAACCACGAAAGGGAGTCAAGACAGGGCCCGGCAGCCCCCGGTACACCACGCCCACGTCCATCTGCACGTCCAGTGCTGCCAGAGTTCAGGCCTATGTCCTCTGCCTCCTCCCTGTCGCTCTGCCATCCCAAGACTGGAAGATGGGAAAAAGAAGGGCAGAAAGCAGCGGGTATTGGGACGAGGCAGAAGAAAGGTAAGGAAGAGAGGGAGGGGAGTCAAGGCAGACCCCGATACACCACGCCCACGTCCATGTGCATGTCCAGCGCTGCCAGTGTGAGGCCTATGTCCTCTGCTTCCTCCCTGTCGCTCTGCCCACCCCAGGACTGCGAGTGGGTAAACAATGACGGGAATTGGGAAGAGTAGGCAGACAGGGAGGGGAAAGTCAGGGCGAGTTTTGGGGCGCCTTAGAACTAGATGGATAGCATACACATTCCTCCTTCCACCACCACCCAACCTCCCCTGCACTTTCCCTCTCCTCCTACCAGATGCCCACATGCTTACCAGTGGTGAAGATGGGTGGAGCACGGCGCAGAACATGATGAATGGCGTTGGGGGGTCCGCATCCCCCCATGCACCCCCCCGTGCACCCCCCCGTGCACCCCCCCGTGCACCCCCCCATGCACCCCCCCGTGCACCGCCCCATGCACCCCCCCGTGCACCCGCCCGTGCACCCCCCCATGCACCCCCCCGTGCACCCCCGCGTGCACCCCCGCGTGCACCCCCCCGTGGACCCCCCCGTGCACCCCCCCGTGCATCCCCCCGTGGACCCCCCCGTGCACCCCCCCGTGCATCCCCCCGTGCACCCCCCCGTGCATCCCCCCGTGCATCCCCCCGTGCACCCCCCCGTGCATCCCCCCGTGCACCCCCCCGTGCATCCCCCCGTGCACCCCCCCGTGCATCCCCCCACACACCCCCTCACCAGTGCATGAAAGCCCTTTGAACCCACCAGTGGTGAAGATGGGTGGAGCGCGGCGCAGCACGTGCTGAATGGCGTTGGGGTGCCCACATCCCCCCACCTCCATGTCGCACGGCAGCAGGTGATGCTGCTCCATGCCCGCCAATAGCTCGTCCATTCGACAATTAGGGTTGCCCAGCTGTGGGGAGGGGTTCAGAGGGGTGAAGGAGGGGTTGGGAGGGGTGGAGGACGGGGCAGCAGCAACCCCCCACCTCCATGTCACACGGCAGCAGGTGGTGCTGCTCCATGCCCGCCAATAGCTCGTCCATGCGATAGCTCGGATTGCCCAGCTGTGGGGAGGGGTTGGGTGAGGTGAAGCAGGGTTTGAGAGCGGTGACGAGGGGACAATGGGGCAGCAGGTGGTGCTGCTCCATGCCCGCTAATAGCTCGTCCATTCGACAGGTCGGATTGCCCAGCTGTAAGGAGGGGTTCAGAGGGGTGAGGAATGAGTTAAGAGGGGTGCGGAGGAGTTGAGAGGGGGAGGGGACGAGGGAGTGTAGCAGCACCCCCCCACGTCCACATCGCATGGCAGTAGGTGGTGCTGCTCCATGCCTGCTAATAGCTCGTCCATTCGACAATTAGGGTTGCCCAGCTGTGGGAAGGGGTTGAGAGCGGTGATGGAGGGGTTGGGAGTGGTTAGGGGGGAGTCACGAGGGCAGGGGAGGAGGGGGGCAGCACCCCCCCACATCCACGTTGCACGGCAGCAGGTGATGCTGCTCCATGCCCGCTAATAGCTCGTCCATTCGACAATTAGGGTTGCCCAGCTGTGGGGAGGGGTTCAGAGGGGTGAAGGAGGAGTTGAGAGGGGTAGCGGACGAGGGAGTAGCAGCACCCCCCACGTCCACATCGCACGGCAGTAGGTGGTGCTGCTCCATGCCCGCTAATAACTCGTCCATGCCACAGGTCGGATTTCCCAGCTGTGGGGAGGGATTGAGAGGGGTGAAGGAGGAGTTGGGAGGGGTGGAGGACGGGGCAACAGCAACACCCCCCCACGTCCACATTGTCCATTCAACACGTGGGTCACCCAGCTGCGGGAAGGTTTTGAGAGTGGTGATGGAGGGGTTGAGAGCGGTGATGGAGGGGTTGGAAGCGGTTAGGGGGGAGTAAAGAGGGGCAGGGGAGGAAGGGGGAAGCACCCCCCCACGACCACATCGCAGATGCGCCCCCCAACCAGATAGCAGCCCCAAACACATTTTTGAGGCGCCTCAAAAATCAACTCAGATAGCTGAGACAGCGCCGAACAGCCCGGACATACACACGTGCCCACACACCCACCCACCTTTGACAATCTCAGAGCAGTGGCGTTGGCATGGTGGAAGGAGGAGGAGTAGCACATCTGGCGCGACTTGACGGCCAACAGTGACAGGAGTTGCCTTGGCAATTCTCTTCTCAAAAAGGACTCACCTTGGAGAGCCGGAGGGCAGTGGCGTTGGCATGGTGGAAGGAGGAGTAGCACATCTGGCGCGACTGCAGGCAGCAGCGAGAGCACTGCATCATTTCCATCACATCCAGCCCAAACAACCCTGACAGCTATGCATGCTCCTAGCACCCCACACACACATACCCTCATACACATACGCATGCCCACCCACGAGTCTCACACACACACGCCCCCATTCACACACCTTGGATAATCTGAGAGCAGTGGCGTTGGTGTGGTGGAAGAAGGAGGAGTAGCGCATCTGGCGGGACTGCAGGCCGCAGCGAGAGCACTGCATCATCTCAGTCACATCCAGCCCAAACAGCCCGTGCGCTATGCACGCCGCCGCTGCCGCCTCCCCTGCCGCCTCTGCTGCTGCACCCACACCTGCACCTGCTTCCCCTCCTGCTCCTCCTGCTCCTCCTGCTCCTACTCCTGTTGCTACACTGTCCCCTAATCTACCACTTGATCCTAAACCCCCACCGGGTTTCCTAGCATTCCCAGCTGCAGCAGCGGCAGAAGCTGCAGTAGTGTTGGCTCCGCCCTTCCCTCTGGCAACAACAGCACCATAGGAGAGGGGAGAAGCAGACACAGCAGCTGCCCCACTCCCCGAGGCTGTCCCCGAGCCTGCTGCCGAGCCTACATCGTGTCTCTGCCCTGGAGCTGTGGTCTGGTTAGGCACAGGCCCAGCACCCAGGCCTGAGCTGTCTGCCGAAGCTGCGAGGTAGGCTCGGTCCCAAGCTGCTGTTGAGGCTGGACAGTCCCAGCTTCCTGCCTGCTTCTGATTGGCTGCACTGCTGCCCGGGTCAATAAAAGAATGATCTGTCGAAAAGTTGACAGCTGTGGATTTGACACTGGAAGCTCCTTCTGATGCCGAACCAGATGCCCCACCTGCAGGTTCGGAGGCAGGTTCGGCGAAGGCTCGGTGGAGGCAGTCGAAGATGACTGGGAGAACCTCTGAAGCATCATTCATCTGAGACTGAAAGAGGGGGAAGGCGGAAAATGGGGCAGCAAAAGAAAAGAAAAGAAAAAAAACAAACAGGTCAGGAGCAGGCATTACTTAAGTCAACCAAGTGAAAAAACAAGGCATGCAGTGTCTCTCTTAACCTGTGAGCATAATCGCTAAAAAGGCAACAACAAAGGTTTGACAATACCTGTTGGAAGAACTCAGAGTCGGCAAACATGGCACTAAGTGCCACTCTTAGTGCTGTGGGCGCCACTACAGTCCGAACAGAGGGGCCCGCCCCTCCCCCTGCTGCTGGCGCCGCTGCCACCACTGCCACCCCTGCTGCTGCCGCCGCCGCCGCCGCCGCTGCTGCTGCTGCTGCTGACGAAGTGGGCTCTGCAGGTGTAACCCCAGCTGCCATCGCATCATTACTGGGGGGAACTGCCTCTGTTACACTACTGGTAACCGCACTGGTGACCGCACTAGTGGCTGTGCTGGTGGGTGCACTCCTGGTCCCACCACTACGCTCTGCCAGAGCAGTGGCATAACTACTGTGGGTGGAGGGCTGTACCTGTGCCTGTGCCTGTGTTTGGGGTTGTACCTGTGCCTGTGTATGTTTCATCCCACTGCTGCTGCTATGAGCCTGCTGCTGCGACGCCCCCCATGTGTTGCTCTGCTGTGTCCTCTTGCTCCTCTTGTTGGCTGACGCACTCTCAGCATCCGATAACGAATCACCTTCTACAGGGGATGACACTGCTGCAGCGCTGCCGCTGCCGCTTCCACTGCTGCTGCTAAGAACAGGGAAATCAGAGGTGCTGAGAGGAGGGAACGCGGCAGCATCGGCAGCAGAAGCAGCAGAGACAGCAGCTTGGGACACTTGCTCCCTGTTCGATCCTGCTGCGCCTGCTCCTGCTGCTGCCGTCGCTGCTGGCGAAGATTTCCAAGCAGGCCGCAACGAGACAGGTGCAGCTGTTGCAGCAGACGGAGCAGCACCGGGGGCGGCAAAAGGAACAATGGCAGTCGAGAGCGAGGAGTAGGTGTTGGTGGTGGCGGTGGTGGAGGCAGTGGTGGGGGCGGTGGTGGTAGTGGTGGTAGTGGTTGTGACAGAAGGGCTGGCAGTGGTGATGGTGGCGGTGCTGGTGGTGTTGAGAGCAAGAAAGATGTCTCTAAGAGCGCATACGACACAGGGATCGCCCTGATGGGAGTGTTGTTGACAGGATGGGTGCAGCAGCCTCTCCCTGAACCTGCGCAAGTGCCACAGGGACTGGGGGGTTTGGGAACCAGTGGGAGGGAACATGGGGAAAAATATATGGGAAACAAAGGGGAAACAAAGGGGAAAAAACGAGGAAATGAAGGGGAAACGAAGGGGAAAACGAAGGGGAAAACGAAGGGGAAACGAAGGGGAAACAATGGGGAAAACTAAGGGGTATTTATTAGTGCTGGTGGAGTTGAGAGCAGCAAGGAAGATGTCCAGATTTGGGACGTCACAAGCACTCTCCCAAACAGCAGTCACTCCTCCCGCAAGCAACAGAACAATCCCTCCTCACCTGACTGATGACATTGAGAAAGCAGTTGAATTCCCCAATCTCATTCCGCAACCCCACCAGCCCCACCAGCCACTCCTCTCCGCTTTGGGGCACTACCGACACAACTTTAATTCCTCACCAAAATAGCAATCGCTCATTTCCCCAGCAACACCCCCTTGTGAGCGATTTTTGAGAATTCTCAAAAACCGCCACAACTGCAGTTCCTCACCAAAATAGCAATCGCTCATTTCCCCAGCAACACCCCCTGCCTACCTGAAAGATGAAATTGAGAAAGCAGTTGTGTTCCCCAATCTCATTCCGCAACCCCACCAACCCCTCCTCCCCTCCTTGAGGCACCGAAGCAACTGTAATTCCTCATCTCACCAGAATACGAATCATTTCCTCACAAAACAGCAATCCCTCCGCACCTGAATGATGACATTGAGGAAGCAGTTGTACTCGCCGATCTCATTCCTCAGCCCCACCAGCCCCTCCTCCCCTGCTGCACCACCCCACACCATCTCCACCGCCCCTCCTCCCCCTCCGCCCCCCCTCACTTCCACCTCCATTCCCCCCTCCCCTCCCCCTCCTCCCTCTCTCGACTCCCCACTCTCCTCTCGTAGCGTCAGCGCCACGCTGGCATCCCAGTCTGCTGACGTGGCAGGCGCTGCTGCCAGGCTGTCGGAGCTTCTTCCTGAGCTGGCGGGGTTTAGGGCTGCTTCTGATTGGTGCTCGGGGGGCGGCCGGGCGGCCGAGTGGTAGTAGTGGGAGTGAGACGAACGCTCCAGATCCTCTGATGGGGGCAATGAGGGAAAAAAGAGGGGCGGAAAAAAGAAACGAACCGAGGAGGGGACAAAAACTCATGTATAAAGTCAGGTGTTTTCAACAAAGCAAGTAATGGCAGAACTCGAAGTTATGGCTCTGCCACACTCACATCTGCCCTTCTGCACGCACCTATGCTCTGTTGCATGGCTCGTTGCAGGTCCGCTTGAAACTGCTCATCCTCCTCCTCGTTATCCACAGCGGCGCTCCTCCCTTCAACCTCTGTTCCCACCATTCCTCCCTCCGCTCCTCCCTCCGCTCCTCCCTCCGCTCCTCCCTCCTCCCCTCCCATCTCCCCTCCCACCTCTCCTCCCATCTCTCCTCCGTCTCTTCCAACCTCCATTCCTTCCCCCATCAACCTTTCACTACCCTCTACCCGCTCCCTCCCACCCTCCTCCTCCCACTCCTCCCCCCCCTCCTCAATCTCCACCGCCCCTCCTGTTGACACACCTTCATGTATGTTCTGAGAATTCTCATAATATGCCATTGCACCCCCTGCTGCTCCCCTTCCTCCTGCTGGCCCTCCTGCTGCTCCCCTTCCAGTCACACTGCCTGCTGCACTTCCTACCGCCCCTCCTCTCCCCCCCGCCTCCCTTCCTCCCACCTCCGCCATTCCATGCGAATCCAACGCCGTCACACCGCCCTGAACACCCATACTCGCCCTCTCCACCCACCCACCCATCCCAACCTGCTGCCCACCCATCTCACCCTGCAGAACCGCACTGCTTTGCTGCGCTGCCTCTGCCCCATCCTGCTGCTGCCCTTGCTGCAGCAGCGCATCTCCCCTTGCAGCACCACCATCCCTGGGCAAGGGCATTGATTGATGCGCATTTTGGAGCATTCCGACCTGTTGGGTTGTTCCCACCTGTAGGGTCGTCGCCCCCATCTGTTGAGGCGTTCCCATCTCCTGGGGCGTTTCCAGTTGGCCGCCAGGAGCCACACGTTGATGGAAAGCGGGCGCCTGCAGCCCTTGCGGAGGCTGCAAGCTTTGACCGTGGGCCATTTGCATTTGTACCCCGTGCGGCTGCTGGGCCATTTGCGGCTGTACCCCGTGTGACGGCTGGGCCATTTGCAGATGCACCCCATGCGGCTGTGCCAGTTGGGATTGCATGGGATGACCCTGCTGCTGCATTCCATGACTCTGCTGCTGCAACCCCGGCTGCTGCTGCTGGTGCTGCTGGTGGGTGTGATACCCCACAGCAAGCCCTGGAGACCCCACAACAGGAGCATGCTGGGGAGGAGAGGGAGCAAGCGGGTATGAGTGAGCAGATGGGATCGCATGCAGGTGGGGTTGCGATGCAAACGGATGGGGTTGGGATGAGTAAGGGTGAGTGGGCGGGGGCGTGGGGTTGGGAGGTGGGGATGGGCTGTGGTGTAAGGAATGGGTCGGATGGGATAAGTGGGAGGGGTGGGTATGGTGCATGGTTGTTTGTACTTGCGCTTGTGCTTGTTGCTGCGCCTGCCCCTGCTGCCCCTGCCCCTGCCCCTGCCCGTGTCCCTGCCCCTGTCCCTGCGCCTGTGCGTGTGCCTGCCCCTGTCCCTGTGGTGGCGGCGGCAGTGGGCGGATGTGTGGCGAGGGGAGCGGGCGGAGGAAGGGAGAGGGGTACATGAGAGAGGGCATGCCCCCAGGAACAAACGGAGCAGCGTGAGAAGACAGCTTACTAGGCGATGCAAACGCTCCCGACTGCCTCGCCTGCTGCTGCTGCTGTTGCTGTTGCTGCTGCTGGGAATGCTGCTGTGCTGTGCCTGTTCCTCCCGCCCCACCTTGCCCTGCTTGCCCTACTTGCCCTCGTTCCCCTCTTTCTCCTCCTTGCCCCGCCACTGCTGCGCCTGCCTGCCTGCCCAACGCACCCAGCCCACCAGGAGCAGTCCCAGCAGGGTACGCCATAACCACTGCCGGATCTCCCCCCACCCCCGCTGCCGCCGCTGCTGCACGTTCCATCTGCCCTGCTGCTGCGCCTGCTGTTGATGCTACTGCCCCTGCAACTGGTGCTCCTTGGAAGGAGGGATGCAAGCCTGGAGGGGCATAGAGAGTGGCTGCATGGGGATATTGAGCATGGGAAGGAGTAGCACCGTCGCCAGCACCACCACCAGTGGCAGCAGCAGCAGCAGCACCGGCACCTCCCTGCGTCCCCATGTACCCAACCGGCCCTGGAACCAGACTCGCCAAACCAGCAGGCCCGGCGACCGAAGCTCCTGCCGAGCCTGGGCCAGCCGGAGCAACGAGAGGAGGCATGGGGGCAGGCGGGAAGGGGCCAGCACCCATGGGGGTACCCATGTGTGCGCCCATGTGCATGGGTATGGGAACAGGTACGGGCATGGCGTATGGCATGGGCACTGGTACCAGAGGCACCGTTTGTAGGGGCATGAGTGCCCCATACCCATCCCCTACTCCCCCACCAATCCCCCCCGCAGCAACGGCAGCACTAGTAGCACCAGCAGCACCAGTTCCCGCACTCCCCCCACCCACACCACTTGTTTTGCCAATGCTCGGTGCAGCACCGCTGAGACCCACCTGTGGTGCTGCTGGTCCGTGCTGCAGCTTACCAGCGGTGCCAGCTGCAGCGGCACTGGGAGTTGCAGCAGCAGTGGCAGTGGCTGCAGCAGCGGCATTGCCAGCTGCAGCAGCAGTGGAAGCAGAGTTGGAGAGGGAGGAGGAAGGAGTGGGGGTGACAGAGGGAGGAGAGAGGGAGGGGGGAGGGAGGCCGGAAATAGCACCTGCCGCGCCTCCAGTGGTGGCAGCACTGGTGAACGAACCAAAGGTGATTCCAGACAGGCCAATCGGCCTACCACCACTGCTGCTGCTGCCGCTGCCGCTCTTGCTGCCGCTGCTGCTCTTGCTGCCACTGCTGCTGCTGCTGCTGCCGCCGGCCCTGTCACTGACTCTGCTGGTGCTAGGGCTTGCACCATCAAGTCCGGGTTTGTGGGGAGCTGAAACGGACAGGGAGGTTGCAGCGATGGTCTGCCCCCCCTCCTGCTGCTGCTGCTGCTGCTGCTGCTGCTGCTGCTGCTGCTGCTGCTGCTGCTGCTGCTGCTGCTGCTGCTGCTGCTGCTGCTGCTGCTGCTGCTGCTGCTGCTGCTGCTGCTGCTGCTGCTGCTGCTGCTGCTGCTGCTGCTGCTGCTGCTGCTGCTGCTGCTGCTGCTGCTGCTGCTGCTGCTGCTGCTGCTGCTGCTGCTGCTGCTGCTGCTGCTGCTGCTGCTGCTGCTGCTGCTGCTGCTGCTGCTGCTGCTGCTGCTGCTGCTGCTGCTGCTGCTGCTGCTGCTGCTGCTGCTGCTGCTGCTGCTGCTGCTGCTGCTGCTGCTGCTGCTGCTGCTGCTGCCCCTGCTGCCCCTGCTGCCCCTGCTGCCCCTGCTGCCCCTGCTGCCCCTGCTGCCCCTGCTGCCCCTGCTGCCCCTGCTGCCCCTGCTGCCCCTGCTGCTGCTGCTGCTGCTGCTGCTGCTGCTGCTGCTGCTGCTGCTGCTGCCTGCTACCGTCAGCCTGAGACTGCAACGAATTTGCCTCTTTCTCATCCTGCCGCTGCGCCTGTCCCTGTGCCTGCGCCTGTGCCTGTGCCTGCCCCTGCCCTTGCTGCTGCTGTTGCGTTGCCCCCATAGGCGCATATTCTTTGACCTGCCGCATCTGCACCTGCTGCTGTTGTTGCTGCTGTTGCCGTTGCTGTTGCTGCTGCCGTTGCTGCTGTTGCTGTTGTTGTTGCTGTTGCTGTTGCTGCTGCTGCTGCTGCAGCTGCCGCCTTCTCTCTCTAGCAGCCGATCTCGGTCCTACTGCAACCTCTACATCCACCTCCTCAACCCTCTCCCCTCCTCCCATTCCCCCTCCCATACCTCCTCCCATACCTCCACCCATACCTCCACCCATGCCTCCTCCCATGCTTCCTCCCATGCTTCCACCCATCCCTCCACCACCCATACCTCCTCCCATACCTGGCCCCATACCTCCGCCCATCTGCCCCGGCCAAGCCCCAGCCCGACCCTGTCTCTCCTCCCCCTGTGACCCATCACCCCACCCCCCGGCATACCCCTTCCCTCCCCACCCACTAAACCCTGGAGGGTGAACCACCCCCTGTGAGGCAATTACCCCTTGATGGGCAGGGGGAGTTACCCCTTGAAAAGGCATTACCCTCTGGGGCGGAATCAGCCCTTGGGGGGGAAGTACCCCTTGGTGAGCATGCCTTGGTAAATCCTCCTGAGATCCAGGCAGGGGCGCATTAGGGAGAGCAGAGCTAGGAAAGCCAGGGAGATTGGAGTGTGCAGGGGCGGAAGACCTGGCATTCGCGCTCATGGATCCAACACTAGGGTTGACGGGATTAGGGTTTACGGAATTAAGGTTTACGGAATTCGGGTTTACAGGCCCACCACTTCTAACTACGTCTGGCGCTGCCAGCAATCCATCCTGTACCCCCCGTGTTCCCCCCACACCAGCCGCAACTGCTACTCCCACCACCCCAGCAGCAGCAGCCACAGTGGTAGCAGGTACTAAGGGCAGGAGCGGTGGCAACTGGGATGGGTGCTGCTGCTGCTGCTGCTGCTGCGGCTGTTGTTGCACTGGACCCTGCGACTGCTGCTGCTGCTGGGGCACCTGTTGATGCTGCTGCTGCTTCTGTGAATGCTGCTGTGGCTGCGGCTGCTGCTGCACCTGTCCCTGTAATTGCTGCTGCACTTGCATCACATTTCCTTCTACGCCCTTGTCTGTGCCACTGCCCGCGCCTAGTGCAGACTTTTGAGGCGCCTCAAAAGCACTGCCCACGCCCAGTGCAGCAGCAGCAGCAGTGGCACCTCCACCTTCAGCTGCCCCTGCGCTTCCTTCTGAACCCTCCCCTGCTTGAAAACGTGCGCCTACCTGTGAACCCCCTCCCGCCTGCAAACCACCTCCCCCCTGGAATCCCCCCTCCATCTGCCCACCCATTCCGCCTGCCTTGCCCTTGCCGCCCCTCTTTCGCCTCGACCTATTCTTGCCACCGCCTACCCCCCCCCCTTCGCCAGACCCAGCAGCACTCCCTCCATCAGACACAGCACCACCGCTGCCTGCAGCAGCACCTGAATTTTCACCTGAACCAGCTCTCTGCGCGAGAGGCGCTCCCAGCAGCCCAGCATTCGCAGGAGGAGGGGCAGCAGCAGCACCCTGAGTGTGACTCTGCCCTGCCCTGAACCTCTGCAACTCGCCTTGCTGATTCGCCACTTTCTGCTGCTGCAGGGATGGAGGCACAGCAACGTCTCTCCCGCGGCCCTTGTGCCCCAAACGTTGGCTCGAACTCGCTATAGTGCGCACTATGCCACCTGACCGATCACCTGAGACCAACCCGGACGCCGGAATGCCGTTTGCCAAAGCTCCTGCCTCCCCTGCTTGGGCCACAACGCCCACCCCCACTTGCTGCTGCTGCTGTTGCCGCCCATGCTGCTTTCCCTCCTGCTGCTGCTGGCCCCCGTGCTGGCCTCCCTGCTTCCGCTTCTGCTTCTGGGTTGACTCATTTGGCTCTCCTCCCACCCTCACACCGACCTCTTCCTTCTGCCACCCACCACTCTCCACACTCCCATTCCCCATACTCACACCCCCTGCCACCTCCCTCCCACCCCGCCCCCCACCCAGCCCCTTACCCCGCCCTCCTGTCTGACCCACACCAACCGCGCCCCACCCTTCTTCATCCCTTCCATCAGAATCGCTTAGCCTAGTACCACTGCTAACAGCTGAACCCGCTCCTGCAGAAGAAGAGTCGATTGAAGAACCTCCAACTCGAGCCCCTTCCTGCTGTAACTGCTGGGTCTGCTGCGGCCATTGGGTTGGCTGCGATTCATGGCTCTGTGACAACTGCTGAAAACGATGAGACGCACCTGCTGGTGTATGTGTGTTTGTGCTTGTATGTGTATGTGAATGTGTATGTAGCTGTGTGTTTGTATGCGTATGTGTATCCGCACTCGAAAGCTCCCTGGGGCCCGGTTCCCCCCATCCTGTTGCCCCTATGGCCCCTGCAGCAGCAGCAGCACCACCACCACCACCAGCCGCACCCACAGCACCGGCACCTGCAGCAAACCCTTCCGCCCCTTGCACCACCGCCGTCTCTTGCAAAACCCCGAACCCAGAACCTCCATTAGCCCTCTCCCAACTCGACCCCTCACAACTCCCATCCTCCCATTCCCCTTGCCTCCCTCTCACCATCCCCCCTTCCACCTCCCCCATCCTTACCCTCACCTCTTGCACCCCACCACTCCCACCTCCCCCTGACTTAGCCTCCCCACCACCACCCATCAGCCTGAGCCGCTCCAATTCGGCCATTCTCTGCCGTTTCGCCGCCTCCTCTGCTTGCCTCAGGAGAGACAAAGCCCATTCCAGCTTCCTCTCCTCGTCCTCCATCTCCTGCTGCTGCCTCAGAATCTCCTGCTGCTCCCTCCGCCTCTGAGCCTCCTCCTCCCTCTCTGCCGCACTCTGTGGCACCCTCTCCCTCTCTCTTACCCTCTCCCTCTCCCTCTTCTCTCTCTTCTCTCTCTCTCCTTTTTCTCCGTCTCTCTCTCCCACTGCCTGCCTCTTCTCCACTTGTCCTTCTCTGCCCCCCTCCCCTTCCTCCTCGCCCTCATTCACTCCTTCCATGTCACTGTCCCTTAGCTGACTACTGCTCCCTATCTCTCTTCCTTCGCCCTCTCCTCCTCCCTCTGCTCCTGCCACCCTACCAGTACTCTCCCCTCCTCCTCCTCCTGTTACTCCTCCCCCTGCGCCTCCTCCCCCACCACCACCCTTCCCACTCTTGGCACGCTCTTTGCCCTTCTTTTTCTCCCGGTTCTTTTCCACCTGCCCCTGCTTGTCCAGCTCAGCAAGGAACGCCTCTTGGGCAGCATCGGAACGTTTTTGTGCATCCTGCTCCGCTGCTTGCTCGAGGCGGTTCTGGAAATAAGAATGATAACAAAAAACAGAAAGTCCAAACCAGCACATCAGGTCAGAACCAAAACCTTCACACGTGCAGATTGTGTTGACATAAGAGCAGCAAAACTTCTGACGAGCCTTTTAAGGTGCCCCCCCCCCCCCCCCCCCCCTCCAAAAAAAAAAAAAAAAAAAACTTCGGAGGATCGGAGTACCAATTACTCACCATAGCTGTCAGCACCATGTATAGCCCACCTGCAGGAAGGTCTTGACGATGGGCAGCATGGCAGCACGGTAGTCAAAGACCGACGTGGGAGCAACATGCACACATACCTCAAAACAGTTCCCCACCTGCAGGAAGGACTTGACGATGGGCAGCATGGCGGCGCGGTAGTCAAAGACCGACGCCTGGTGGAGCTTGGCGTTGGCCTTCTGAACTGCCTCCAGATGGCACAGGGTCCTCTCCTCTGCTTGCTCCTTCTGTTTATGATAAATGGTTCGGATCGGATAGGGGAACAGGAAGAGGCAAGTGAGGACGAAGGTGGAGCTTCGCCTTGACCTTCTGCACCGCCAGGGTTTAGCGTACAGAATCCTCTCCCTCCCACATTTCAGGGGAAAATGCTAAACCCCTCCCACATTCCAGGGGAAAATACTAAACCCCTACCACATTTCAGGGGAAAATGCTAAACCCCTTCCACATTCCAGGGGAAAATTACAAACCCTTCCCACATTCCAGGGGAAAATGCTAAACCCTCCCACATTCCAGGGGAAAATGCTAAACCCTACCACATTCCAGGGAAAATGCTAAAGCCCTCTCGTATTCCAGGGTCAAATGCTAGACCCCTGTCGAAATTCCAGAGATAAACCCTACCTCGGCCAGAATGCTGCTCCTGTGGCTCCGAATCGCGCCCTCCATGCGCAGGTCCAGCTGGGCGGCGAACTCCGGCCCGCGCCAGCTGTCGTGCTCGTCCTCATCTGAGTCAGTGCCGCCCAGGTGGGAGGGCGTGAGGGAGAGCAGATCGCCACACGGCATGCGAGGCTGAGGGGGTAGGGGGGGAGGGAACAGGAGGCGGAGGGGGGAAGGGGAGGGGAAGAATGATTGGGGGGTTGTGGGGGCGGGGAGACCCAGTTGGGAGGGCGCGAGAGAGAGCAGATCACCACATGGCATGCGAGGCTGAGGGGGTTAGGGTAGGGGGAGAGGGAAGGGGAGGCGGGACGCGGAAGGAAGAGGGGGAGCGGAAGAATGATTGGGGGGTTGTGGGGGCGGGGAGAGGGTGTGCCGCCCAGGTGGGACGGCGCGAGAGAGAGAGAGCACATCGCCACACGGCATGCGAGGCTGCGAGGGGGGGGGGCGAGGCGGGGGAAGAGAGAGGCCATAAAGGGAGGGTGGGTGGGGTTTGGGGGGAAAGGGGGACAGGAGGAGGGAAGTGAGAGGACGTGCCACCCAGGTGGGAGGGCGCGAGGGAGAGCAGATCGCCACACGGCATGCGAGGCTGCGGAATCTAGTTTTGAGGCGCCTCAAAACTAGGTGGGAGGGTGCGAGGGAGAGCAGGTCGCCGCACGGCATGCGAGGCTGAGGGAGCTGGGGGAGGGAAGGGGAGGAAGCGGGGGGGGTAGAGGAGGGGGTGGGGGGGAGTGAGGGGAAAGAAGTAAGTAGGAAAGACCTGAAGGCAGCGTCTTCTTTTTTTTCTCTCAGAACAAGCCTTAGCCAGAGACGATACGGAGGAGGGGAGGGGGTGACGTGAGACCCAAAGTCAGTCTGTTCCTCTCGCACAGCCCTTTCCTCACCTCACTGAACAGTGCCGTCTGGTAATCGCTGAGCACGCTGCGGATGACACTTGTCTCGATCTTAATCGCCCGCAGCTTCCTCTCCGTCCACACCTTCCGCTTCGCCTGCTTCTTCTCTCCCTTCTCCCCTTCTTCACCTTCCTTCTTCCCCTCCTCCTTCCCCTCTTCCTGTCCTTCCTTCCCCTTCTCCTTCCCCTCTTCCTCGCCCTCCTTTCCCTCGTCCTTTTCCTCTTCCTTTCCCTCCTTCTCCTTCCCCTCCCTTACCCCTTCCTCCTCTTTCCCTCCCACCTCTTCGCTTGTTCCATCCTTCCCTCTCACTCCATCAGCCCCTTTCTCACCCTCCTCCTCCCCTTCCTTTGAGCCCCCTCTCACCTCACTCCCTGCGTCTACCTCTCCCCCCTCACCCCCCTCATCCCCCCCATCCGCCTCTCCTTCTTTCTCCCCCACTTTCGCATCCCTCCTCTCACCTCCTCTCTTCCTCTCCCCACCACCCAGCAAAGCCGTCCCCTCGTCCGCATCCTCCTCCTCTCCTCTCTTCTCCACCTCCTCCTCCTTATCCCCCTCCTCACCACCCTCCTTACCCCCCTCCTCCCTCTTCCCCTCTCCCCCACCTCGCCTTCCGCCCTTCCCCCGCCCTTCCTCCGCTGCCCTTGCCTCCTCATCCGCAATCCCCCTCAACGCCTCCTCTTCCGCCTCTGCAAGCTCCGCCATCCTCCTTTTAAGCACACTCGCAAACCGTTTCACATACCCTGGGTCCCTCTCCCTCCGCCTCCTCTCCTTCTCAAACAACCTCTCCATCTTCTTCAGCTTCCGCTCCGCAATCCCCAGCTCTATCCTTCTATCGCATTGTGCCTTTAACGAGTTGTACTCCGTGTCTAGCCCCTCCATCACCTCCCTCGCCTTCTCCAGGCCCTCTTTATAAGCACACCGCCACGCTGACGCTGCCATCTCATAATCCATTCGCCCGAAGATCCAAGCGAGCTGCAAATCGTCATGCTTGGGCACGTCAGCAGCACCACCAGTCGCACCACCAGCACCAGCAGCAGCAGCAGCAGCAGTAGAAGCACCACCACCCCCACCCCCAGCGCCAGCACCGGCACCAGAAGCAGGGGTACCAGCACTGGGTCCCGCCCCTCCGCCCCCTCCTGATGCTGTTTGTGATCCCCCACTCACCGGCCCCCCTGCTCCTCCCGCTGCCCCTTCGCCTCTCCGCACGCGCATGAGGGGCAGAGGCCATTTCATGCTCGGGTCCTCAGGCACTGCGACTGTTAACTCCTCTTCTTCCTCCCCCCCTTCCTCCTTCTCCTCTTTCTCACCCTTCTCCGCCTTCTCCTTCTCCCCTTTCTCCCCCTTCTCCTTCTCCCCCTTCTCCTCCTTCTCCCCCTTCTCCCCTTTCTCCTCCTCCTTCTCTTTCTCCCCATTCTCCTCGCCATTCGATGCTGCTTTCGCCTCTTCACCCACCTCTCCCTTACCGTCCTTCTGCCCCCCCTCCTCTTTCCCGTCTTTCTGGCCCTTCTCTCCCTTACCCTCTTTCTGCTTCCCCTCCTTCTGACCCTCCTCCTCCTGCCCTTCTCCCTTCGCCTCCTTCCGCCCCTCTCCCTTTACCTCCTTCCCAGCTTCCTTCCCCTCCTGCTCTCCCCCCTGTTTACCCCTACCACCACCATCAGCATCCCCAGCATCACCACCGTCAGCAGCACCCCTTTTTCCTCCTCCGTCTCCTGCCTCCTCTCTCCCTCCTCCCTCTCCCGCCTCCTCCTTCCCTCCATCCCCCCCTCCTGCCTCCACCCTCCCCCCCACAGCATCCCTAAACGGCAGCTTAGGCTCCTCAGCCACATCCTTCAACACACGCTCGTCCAGAATGATCCTCGTGAACTCCTCGTCTAACAGGAGCCTGTCAGGCAGCACTGCCTCCTTGTTCTCGTTATAGTACGCCCCCTGTTCCGCTTCTAGCAGGTACGCCTGCAGCTCCTGTATATCGCGCGCTGGCAGGAAACGAACAAAGACTGGCGACGGGGTGAAAGTGACCGGGGCGCGAGCGAGAGACGGCTTAGACCTCCCCTCTTCCTCCTCAGTCGTACCTAAGGAACATTCCTTGGATGCGTCCTCTTCCTTCCGTTCCTTGAACAGCGTGTCCTTATCTAACGTCTTAAGTGAATCTTCACATGAACCTTCATCTGAATCTTCACGTGGCCTCTTTTCTGTGGAATCACCTCCACATACTGCCTTCCTCAGGCGTTCCTTTTCAACCTCCCCCTCCCTTTCTGCCTCCTCCCCTGCAGCCCCTGTGGGCCCAGCAGCAGAAGAAATGGAGAGCGAGGCAGCAGCAGCATCAGCTGCAGCAGCAGCAGCGTCAGCACGAGCAGCAACAGCAGCGTCAGCAACAACGGCAGCAAGAGCGTCAGCAGCAGCGGCAGCAGCAGAAGAAGAAGCTTCCGCAGAAGCAGTGGTGAGCGAGGAAGCAGCAGCATCAGCTGCAGTATGATCAACAGCGGCAGCAACAGCCTCAGCAACAACGTGAGCAACAGCGGCAGCAACAGCGGCAGCAGCAGCAGAAGAAGCTTCCGGAGAAGCAGTGGTAAGTGAGGCAGCAACAACGGCAGCAGCAGCAGCAGAAGCGTCAGCAACAGCGTCAGCAACAACGGCAGCAGAAGAAGAAGAAGCAGTGGTGCGTGAGGCGGCAACAGCAGCAAGAGCAGCAGCAACAGCGTCAGCAACAGCTTCACCAACAGTGTCAAGAACAGTGGCAGCAGCAGCAGGAACTTCCGCAGAAGCAGTGGTGAGCGAGGAAGCAGCACCAACAGCTGCAGTAGCATCAACTGCGGCAGCAGCAGCAGCACCAGACGCAGCAGCAGCATCAGCAGCAGCATCAGACGCAGCAGCAGCACCAGACGCAACAGCAGCATCAGCAGCCGCAGCATCAGACGCAGAAAGCACAACTCCAGAAGCAGCATCGCCATCACAACCACTGCTCGCACCAATCCAAACAGCCGCAACAGCTGCACCCGCCTCCTCTCCACCCTTCTCTCCTTTCTCCTCTCCACCCTTCCCTCCCTTCTCTTCTCCACCCTTCTTTCCCTTCTCCTCCCCACCCTTCTCCTCCCCACTCTTCTCTTCCATTTCACCTGCACTACTCCCCCCGCTCTCATCCAAACCCTTCTGCACTCTCTCTGCCATGCCTTGCACCTGCAACGACTTTTGAGGCACGGCAGGCGCCTCTAAAGCTCTCTCCGCCATGGCTTGCACCTGAACCATGGTATACTGCACCATACGTGCCATGTGGTCGCGCGTCAGTATCCCCGCTTTAAGCATGCGCTCCACTATATGCTTAAGCCGCATCAGCTCCCGCTGCCTCTCCCTGTCCTGCACTACTGGCAGAGCTCTCGCATGCCGCCGGCACTGCAGCGACTCCCCACAATGCCTGCAACCCTCTGCCGCTGCTGCCGCTGCTGCTGCCGCTGCCTCTGCCGCAGCCGCCGCCGCTGCCGCCGCAGCTGCTGCTTCCTTTTCAGTGACACAGCCCTTCTCCCCTACACCACCACCTTCCTCTGTTCCCAACTTGCTTTCACCTACCTCTTCTTCCTCCTCCTCCTCCTCGTCCTCCTCCTCATCTTCTTCTTCGTCCTCCTCATCCTCTCCCGCACCCCCCTCTTTCCCATCCCTGCCACTACCCACTTTCACCTCCTTACTTTCCTCCTCACCCTCCATCTCTCTCTCCTCCTCACCTGAATCCTTTCCGAATCCCGAATCCCCCAAACTGCCCCCCTTCTTCCCCTTCTCACTCCCGCCTTTGGTCTCGCCTAGAGCAGCGGCCACTCCCTTCTCGATATCCACATCTCCCTCCTCTGCTCCCTCCCCTTCTCCCTTCTCACCTCCCTCCTCCGTTCCATTCTTGGCTCCCTCCTCCGCTCCCTTCTCTGCTCCTTCCTTTGCTCCCTCCGCTTCTCCCTCCTCTGTTCCCTCCCCATCCAGCTCCATCGCACACGCTTCATCCTTCTCTTCCTCTTTCTCCTCCTTCCCCTCCTTCTCCTCTTCCTCCTTCTCGCCATCACCACCCTCCTCACTCCCCTTCCTCTTCCCCTCTCTCTCCTCCACACCCTTCCCACCCCCCTCCCCACCCACCCCACCACCCGCCCCACTCATCCCCTCTACAAGCCTCCTCACCGCCTCAATCCCATCCACAGGCGTAACATCCAACCTCGTAAAAATCTCCTCCCAAGAAAGCGCCTCCTCCTCGGGAATCATTCTCTCCTGCTCCGCGCTCAGCTTTCCTATGTGCTCCTCCTGCATGTGCGCCTGAAACGACTCCGCATCTATAAACCTCTCGTCGCACAGACAGCACGCCCAGAACTGCCAGTGTTTTCTCTCCTTGGCAAAACTCAGCGCTTCTGACATAAGCTCCTCTGCTGCAGCTGCTGCTGCCGCAGCTGACGCCGCAGATTCCCCCCCCAAGCCAACGGTACCACCACCGCAGCTGATCGCAGATACATGCCCTCCCCCTCTTCCTCCTCCGCCTCCGCCTCCCCCTTCCCCTCCCCCTCCACCTCCCCCTCCTGTGCCTCCCCCTCCGCCCGCGCTCCCCACCCCCGCCCCCTTCCCGCCGCGTGCTGACTTGGCAAGGCCATCGCACACGTCAGCAATGGGAATATCCAGAATCTTATCCTTCTCCTCCTGCCCCAGCGCCTTCCAGAACGGTCTAACCTTCTCCACCTTCTCCTCTATTGCGGATTGCGCCCTGGCCCCGCGCCTCCCCGCCAGCACCTCCCTCCGCCTCTTCGCCCCGTCCAGGCCCCCCCGCCTCTTCCCCCCCGCCCCATCCTTCCCCCCTGCGCCGTCCTCCTCCGCGTCCGCTTTCCGCTCCCCGCGGGCGGACGCGGAACCAGGAGCAGCATCCGAGGCGGGCGCGGAACCGGAAATTCCGCCTGCGTCTGCTGCTGCGCCTTGCCCCTGCCCCTGCTGCTGCAGCTGCTGCTGCTGCTGCTGTTGCTGCAGCAGGCGTGCGGCCGTGACGCGCACCTCGATCTCCTGGCGGCGCTCCTCGAGCGTGCGCACCACGCGCTTCACCTCGTGGATGCGCCGCGGCGGCAGCGACGAGCGCGGCTCAATGGGGTCGTCTGAGATCTTCTTCACCTGCTTTTGAGCGAGGGCCGGGGAAGAGGGGCAGGGGGGGTGGGGGAGGCGGGACGAGGAACGTCTGAGGAAGACGGAAGGAGGGAGGGGAAAAGACGAGCGCGGCTCGATGGGGTCGTCTGAGATCTTCTTCACCTGCTTTTGAGCGGAGAGGGAGGGGAGGGTGGGGATGGGCAAAGAGGGGAGGCCCGAGGGCTTGAAACGGGGAAGGAGGAAATACGAGGGCGGCTCAATAAGGTCCTCTGAGATCTTCTTCACCTGCTTTTGAAGGAGCAAAGGGGGGGGGGGGAGGGGGAGGGCGACGGCTTGAAGGCGGGAAGGGGGGAGTTGATTGCGCAGCTCGATGGGGTCGTCTGCGATCTTCTTCACCTGCTTTTGAGAGAGCAGGGGGAAAGAGGGAGGGGAGCGGGGAAGGGGGAGGGGGAGTGGGAAAAGTGGAGGCCGGAGGCTTGAAAGGGGGGAGGTCGGAGGTTTGAAAGGGGAAAGTTGGAAGGAGGGATTACGAGCGACGCTCAATCGGGTCGTCTCAATAAAAAAGCGAGGTCAATTCGAGATCTACTTCATCTGCTCTTTCTCTATAACTTTCAAAAGTAACTGGAACTAGGAAGGGGTTAAGGGATGGGGATGGAGGGAGAGTGGGAATAGGGTATTCTCAAACACGACCAGTTTCGATTGGATCAGAAAGGAAAACATCACCAGTCACTTCCTCAAAGCTGCTGCTTATTTACTAAGTTCCTTCAACACAACAACCACTTCGGGAATTCTTAGAAAATGCTGAACCACGAGTCAAAATTCCTGCCAAACCTTCCCACCGCCAATCAAATACCTGCAATAACTTTTCCACTAATCAAGTACCTTCAAACTTTAACCACCTGAAAATACCTGGGGAGAAAATGTCTAACAAATTCGCGTAAGAACTTTCACCATCTGACCTTCTGCTTTTTTAGGCGCCTCATCATACACAGTCACTCCCATACCTGCAAAAATTTGAACCGCTCGTCCGCGCCGTTGCCGAAGCTGCGCCAGATGGTGGAGAACGACGCGATGTTGGCCTTCTGCTGCAGCCCGCGCAGCTCGTTCTGCACGTGCGTCACGCGCTCCGCCGGCGTCGCCAGCTCCTGCTGACTCTCCTCCTGCAGACTCTCTTTCGCCGGATCCACCGGCGATTCGATCCCCAGCCCGCGCTCGCACTCGCGCAGCACCTCGCTATAGTCACGCCCGTCGGCCGCTTCGAAGAGAAGCTGCGCGTAGAAGTGGGAGTATTCGACGGAGTTCGGGGAGAGTTCCGTGGCTTTAAGCGCGGATTCTAACGCGGTGCGTAGATGCCGCTGCTTCGTGGAAGCATCCTCGATCATGTTCGCGAGTTTCAGGTGGATGTGTCCGTTCACGCGGTGGCAGAGCGGAACGGACGAGAATTTTCCTGTGGCTTCCTTTATAAGCTTCACCGCTTTCGGAGCGTTGCCACGCCGAAGCGCCTTCACTGCCTTTTCGCATTCCGATTTCACTTCCGCGAATCGCGGATCTGAGGGTTCAAGGTAACCAGGACCCGTTCCCTTGGATCCTTCTTCCTGTTGTGATGAAACCCCTCTGTCGCCTGCGCCTCGCCTGCTGCTAGAGCTACCAGAGACCACCATAGCACCACGCGAACTTCCGCCTGATGCGGCAGCATCGCCGGATGTGGAGTCGGATCCTTGAGACGAGCCAGATCCGGCCTTCGATGGCCGTTTCCGACCCATGATTCTTGAATTTGTGAATAGAAATCAATCAATAAGTTCGCCTGTTGAGAGCTCAGAACGTTAACCGCATGGTGCTCGTGAAATCGCTCTTGATGCTATAATTTCCGTACAGCGCGTATTGTACAACAATCACATCGTCATCCACCAGTGTACAAGGTCGTTATTCGCGATCGGCTAAGGACGTATAGAGACTTTCGAGACAAGCGACTCTAAATGCAGACCCTAGAGAACCCTAGAGATGGTTTTGCGGAAAACCCTAGAGAGCTGCAATCACCTCGAGATCTCCAGACGACCCCTTTTCAAAATTTCATGAGTGACCCATCGATCTGCGGGTTGCAAGGGATGATGGAAGTGTGCTGCAGATGTGGGTTTCCGGGCAGATCTGCTATTCACTGTGGGTCCCAAATTCTCCTTCACCACCTTCCAATATACTCTAAAGAGCAGCATTTTTTTCAAAATTTACACAAGCAATCAGATACGCTTCTTTACAGAAACCAGATACGCGTCCTGTTAATACAATGTTTTCTCAACCGAGTACCTTCATAGCAAGGAGGTTACGATGAAATAAACCGGTAAACATTCTTTATTTGAGGGCACTGCTCCTGATATGGAACACTACACAAAAACATGTCTCCAGGTTCGTGCGATGACCTTCGGTAGTGGAGAAAGCAAAACAATAAATAGGTTTGACCTCGAACGGCTTGACGTGAGTCACCGAAGTGTAGATCTCTATAAACGTTTTTATCAGTATTGCACCGTACTATACCCATCACAGTTTTCCCAGTAAGCCCCTCGAGAAATCACTTCATGCATGCCCACAACTCCACAAGGGTCCTTTTGAACACATGAGCGCCTTTCTCAACTCAAGCCTAAGGACCGCCACCACATGCGGTTTCTTCACCAACGCTCTCGCCAAGTAATTTTGTGAGCCAGAATCCAGCTCCTCACTCTATCCTTTTGTCTACCAGCTACCTCGTAGTAGTGTGCGGTAGGCAGTCGTTGATTAGAGTTGTTCTTGGCTGTCTTCCGTCTTGCCAGTTATATGTAGTATTGTCTTTAGCCTTTAAGATTGCCACTATTGCACACGCGTAGACGTGTTGCACAATCGTACGTGGTACGCTCTTCAAAGTCGAGAAATCCCTAAAGCTCCACGCATGGCACGGACGAATGTGTCCTGGGGAATGCTTTCCCTGTGCGCCGTCATTATTATTTGCGGCCTTTCCCGCGCATCCGCTGACGCGACGGAGGCGACTGCATTGGTGAAACAGATTAAACACCCCTTCCTCTCTACCTTCTCGCGGATCTTCGCCGAATTTCGTACGTTGCATGGGTCATACGTTCTGACACTCTCCACCCGCGTTGCTTTTCAAGTTCATGCTACCTCCTCTCCACATCACGCTCCTAACTCGTTTTTCCCTCGTTCTGATGCTCTCGCAGTTCAATCCGATGAGGATCTCCTTTCTGAGCCATCCACCCTCCTCGTGCCGTCCAACATCGGATTCGAACAAATCAAGTGGGACGATTTCACAGAGGATCAGCAGAAGCGCATTTTCCGCCACCATATACTCGCAGGCCGTTGGACGCTGGCTGACCTGCTAAACGCGCAGCCCGGGACGAATTTTACAACCAGAGATGGTGGAAGGCTAGTGACCAAAGTGAAGAAGGATCAAGAGTGTTATTTCCAGACTTACCCTCCCATGAAGATCCCGTCACCACTAAATATCCCTGCAGCAGCGTCGACGGACAGGCTGATAGCTCATGGGGTTACGTTCGTCTTCTTGCCTCCTAATCTCTTAGCATGCCCAGCGTCAGAGGCAATTTGTGACAAGTGATTGTAATTTGACACATATATGTGGGTGTAAGGGGAGAGCGTCCTTCATGCTGCTTGCTAACATGTAGAAGCTGTGACTGGTACACGAGCAAAATCTGCGCCGAGCTGACAACAAAATGTTGCAGAGGGGCTAACAGGATGGAGAGATGAGGGACCTAAGAGCTGCAAGATGGGGCAACCAACCAACCAATGGCGCAAGTATATGGTACCGGTAAGTGTCAGTGAAGGTGTGGGTATATAAGACTGACGGAGGTTCTCCATGAAGCAACAAGCCAATGCGCGAATACTGGTAGGTAGTGTTATGAATGAATGATGATTATGTTGGGCTGAGAAAAGGCCCTTAGGATCTTTGCAGGGCTGAACTCTGGGTAGGACTTGTTGTAATAGCGGAAGCGTTTAATGGAGTAGTTGAATCACCTTGCGCTGGTATGTGAGGGCAAAGTAAAAATTGATTAAAGCAAGGCGATACAAGATTATATAAGAGTACGAGGAATACGAAGAGATACGGTTGCAACTACTTAGGATGTTGCTGTTGCGGCTCGATACAGTGACGACTCGGGCAACTGCTCTGTAACGAGTCAGTTGTGTGTCCTTGCTGTCGCGTTGTACTTGCCAGGTCAAAGGTCGCTGACCTTTGACTTTCGCGTAACCTCTAGCAACAGCTCAACCTCCGAGAGTTGACTCGACGGTGCTTCAATATACAGTACTTCGCTTCGCTTCTGACTTGGTGTTTCGACACGACAGAGGCGCTTAGAGTTAATTGTTTCCAACACTCCCCTTCGCTTCTGGAGTGTCGCAGTTGGTGACGTGGCTCTGTCCAGTCAGCAGCATGCAGTACTCGAACTTCTGCTTTCCGAGCTTCTTGGTCAAGTAATCAGCTGCCATCTCGGATGTGGGGCAGTATGACAGTTCGAGTCTTCCTTTCTCGATCTCGTCCTTCACGAAGAAGTATCGCAGGGCGATGTGTTTCGTCCTGTTCGCGGAGCCGCTCTTGTTGGCTATGCGAATGGCCGACTGGTTGTCGCAGAACAAAGTAAAGTTTGGTAACTGGGCTAGCTTGGCTTCCTCCAGGAGTTCGCGAAGGTACAGTCCTTCCTTGGTGGCTGAGCAGAGTGCGATATATTCTGCTTCAGCTGAAGAGAGGGCGATTAATTTCTGCTTGCTCGACTGCCAAGAGATAGGTCCGATAGGCTCGAGGCGATAGATGTAGCCGGTGCGCATACGTCTGTTGTCGGAGTCACCGGCGTGATCGGCGTCGACGTAGCCGATTAGTTTAGGGGCTGTAGTCGTGTTTTTATGGTAGGTCAGGCTGATTGTTGGGGTGCTAACGAGGTAGTGAAAAGCGCGGTCGAGCTCCGCCAGATGTTCCGCTTCAGGTTTCTTGAGGTAGGTGGCGAGCTGGCTGTCAGTTGATCTGCACTGTGGATGCCCGATTGATCCTGGAGAGGGTTACAGGCGCGTTTGCCTGGGGGGTTATGGGTGCACTGTGTCAAATGTTGTAGCCTGTAGTGAGGTTTGTCTTAGGGGGTACAGAAGTTAGGGTTTGTCATATGTACCCCAACCAACATCAATGCAACACTCATTCCTCATTCTGACATGGTATCAGCTAGGTTAGGATCCTGTGGGATCCCGTTCCTCCGTTCTCCGTTCGTACCTCCCGAGCCTGATCCTACCTCTCGTTCGTACCAGTTTCGTAGTTACCGCGCCTAGTACCGAGCCTAGCGTCATCTCCCCCGTCGCGTCACGCCTGTTCCCCCCCCGTCGCGTCACGCCCGTTCCCCCTGTCACGTCGCGCCCGTTCCCCCCGTCGCGTCGCGCCCGTTCCCCCCGTCGCGTCGCGCCCGTTCCCCCTGTCGCGTCGCGCCCGTTCCCCCCCGTCGCGTCGCGCCCGTTCCCCCCGTCGCGTCGCGCCTGCCTGTTACCCCCCCCCGTCCCGTCGCCCTGTCCCGTCGCGTCGCCCTGTCCCGTCGCCCTGTCCCGTCGCCCTGTCCCGTCGCGTCGCCCTGTCCCGTCGCGTCGCCCTGCCCTGTCCCGTCGCGTCGCCCTGCCCTGTCCCGTCGCCCTGTCCCGTCGCGTCGCCCTACCCCGTCGCGTCGCCCTGCCCTGTCCCGTCGCCCTGCTCCGTCGCGCCGCCCTGCCCCGTCGCGTCGCCCTGTCCCGTCGCGTCGCCCTGCCCCGTCGCGTCGCCCTGACCTTTCCCCCGTCGCGTCGCCCTCCCTAGGCCCTGGCCTGTCGCCCTTCCTAGGCCCTGGCCCGTCGCCCTACCCTAGGCCCTGGCCCGTTGCCCTACCCTACGTCTTGGCCCGTCGTCCTAGCCCACTCTTCCGCTGCGACTGAGTCCTCTTCCCCCCCCGGTTGTTACTCGCCTGTTCGTTCTCACTATGGCGACTCCGCGAGTTCTTCGTTTCGACGCCGACGGTAGACCCCTTGACTTTTCCGTCTGGCTTCTTCGCGCTCGTCGTCTGTTAGAGAGTCAGGTCCAGGGGGGCGAGACCCTCTGGTCACACGCTACTGGTGACCTCCCCGAGCCCCCCGAGCCTACAGCTTTAGGCCCTGCTCCTGACGATGCTGCTACGGCTCGCTTTGCCCGTCAGCGCGCTGACCGGACGGCTTGGACGTCGCGTGACGCTGCGGCCTGCATCGCACTCAGCAGCCTCCTCCCTGAGTCCGAGGAGGTCCACTTTACTCAGGTTCGCACCGCTGCTGCGTACCTCACTGCGATTAAGGCCCGCTACTCTACTCCCGCTACTGTCTCTCTCGGCCGTCTTTTCCTCCCGTTCCTGTTTCCTGATCTTGCCTCGTTTGAGCGCTCTGCTGACTTGATCGCTCACCTCCGCTCGCTTGACGCTAGTTACCGCGCTGCTTGCACTGAGGCACAGCTTGCACTGCTTCCTCCCCCCATGGCGATTACTGTCTATTTCATCGCCACTAGCCTCCCTGACTGCCTTGCCTCCGTTCGTGACGCGCTTCTGCTGAAGCACCCTAGTGAGCTGACTATCGAGGTCCTTGAGTCTGCACTCAAGGATGTCGAGAGCAACCTTCGTTCGGTAGCTGCCGCCTCTGGTACTGTATCCCCCCCACTCTTCCACGGGTGCACAGTCCCGCAGTTACCCACCTTCACTGCCTCTCTTGCCACTGCCGCTACTGACGCGACTGCGGCTGCTGTTAC